GGCGGCTAAAGCCGAACCATCGGCTCGTACCGGACCATCTGGACAAGAACCCAAAGGCTCTTTTAAGAGCCACCCAAACATTCCTTTAAAAGAGCTGTATTACAGTTTTGTGAACATCAGGACGGGGGGCAACCATGACACCACTTTATTACCCATCTAAAACATTCAATGTAATGCTATTAAGTTTTTGAGTGCTTCTCAATGTGTAACTTTGCTGTTGGCAGGAAATCCGTGTTTGCTATAGATGATTTCTGTGTTCCAAATTCTTTCAAAACTCTCACTTTAACTGCTCTGTAATAAAAATCAAATTTTTGAATGTTTGCTGGTTTAAACATTAAAAGTAAAATGCTATTCTATGTCTTGATTTTTCAATTTTGCCTTTAACTGGATACAGAGGAATTGGGACAAATTCTTCGACGAGGAACAAACGGGGAAGTTGCTCTGAGATGATTTTTTTTTTTCTCATATTTCAATTTCCACCCCCTTTATTTCCCTGTCTAGGATTTATTTGCTTTTAAAATAATAGTAAATCTAATATAGTTTTCTAGTGATCATTTGAGGAGGGGGAAGGGAAGGGCTAGGAGGGAATGAGACAATAAAAGTAAATTATGACTCGAGAACCACAATAAAAAAAAAATGTATAAAAAGCCTTGTGTTAGCATTTTTATCATTATCACATACAAAGAGCACTGTAGTCTGCGACTCACTTCAAGAAATTTTTTCTTGTAATTCGCAACTGCAAGGAAAAAAACTGATTTCAACTTTATATAAAAACCATTAAAAATCACTTGGCACTTGTAAGCAATGATATCAAATATATGCGGTCACGTCTGGTTTTCTCGCTCCTTCGTGCATAGGTACAATTAAATAGGAGACTAATATAAACTTTTGCAATTATTTTCACCATAAAAGAAAAATGGCCTAAGTACTATCATCATAATCACAATGTTCCTGATGGTATGTAAAGCTTTTCATTCAGAATGTCCTAGTGAAATTAAACATGAAAATATGTGAAAATAGTACCTCAAAAACTTAATCATGACGGCCTCGTAAATACTTACCAGAGTTAAGAACTTGTGTTACTGGATTTTTGGAGCGCCTTTGTTTCAAGGTACCAACCCATCTGTCCTTTGTGTCTCAGGGAATAACGTGCCTGGTCACGTAAGGAGCTTTGTACGGCGCTGAAAAAACCTTTTCCTTCTTTTGTAACCAACCTATCACTAAAAAAAAGCAAACCGAAACAACTGTGGACACAGAGAAAAAAAACAGGTGCAAGTAACTGCTGAATTGTACCCTCTGAGCGGTTTTCAAGCTGTCAGGAGGCCGGCAGGGATGTAGAGGCGGAGAAGCAGGAGGGTTACGAGCGCTGTGTCCGGAGCACCCGGCCCGCCCCGGGCCCTGGGAGCGATCGGAGCGGAGCCGAGCGGTTCCGGCACAGCTTCAGCTACCCCGGGCCCGGCAGGCATCCCACGGCAGCCAATCAGAGCGCGCGGCTACCGGGCCAATCAGAGCGCGCGGCTACTGGACCAATCAGAGCGCGCGGCTACCGGGCCAATCAGAGACGCGGCAGCTCTTTAAATAACGGCGGTTCAGCCAGCGCTGCGCTCATTTCTTTCTCCTTTCCCGGGTTGTGTTCCTGGTTTGCTATGGCGCGCACGAAGCAGACGGCGCGTAAGTCGACGGGCGGGAAGGCGCCCCGCAAGCAGCTGGCCACCAAGGCTGCCCGCAAGAGCGCGCCGGCCACGGGCGGCGTCAAGAAGCCGCACCGCTACCGGCCCGGCACGGTGGCGCTGCGCGAGATCCGGCGCTACCAGAAGTCCACGGAGCTGCTGATCCGCAAGCTGCCCTTCCAGCGCCTGGTGCGCGAGATCGCGCAGGA